GCCCCCGGCAGGGCCCTTCGTGGGGGGGTTTTGGGGGCGCCTGGGCAGGTTTGGGGCCACGGAGGGATGTTTTAGGGACACCTGGGAAGTTTGGGGGGACACTGAGGCCTTCACAGCAGGGGAGTTTTGGGGACACAGTTTTGGGGACACGTGGGCAGTTTCGGGGCACCAGGGATCTGCAGCAGGACAGGTTCAGAATAGCTTTAAGGTCACAGAATCAGCTTAAGGTCACGGTGGCAATTTTAAGGACAGCCAGGTAATTTTAGGGACAGTAAGGACCTACAGTTGGACAAGTCTGAGGCGGATTTGGGCTCAGGGGAACGGTTCGGGGGCACTCACAGAGGTTTGGGGGCACCACGCGCCTGCAGTGGGGCAAGTTTGGGGTCAGGGGCAGTTTGGGGGCACCAGAACAGGTTTGGGGGCGCCAGTCCCTCACAACAGGGCAGGTCGGGGGGCACCGGGGTACCTGAGGTTGAGGCGGAAGGTGGACCAGGGCAGGATGCGGACCCGGTGGCCCATCATGGACATCTTGTGCAGCGTGGGCTGGCGGTTGAAGATGACGATGTCCCCGTCGCACATGTGTCGCTCCACCTGGGGACAGAGCCAGCGTCAGCTGGGGTCCCCGAGCTGGCACCCCAAAACCAGGATGGGTCTAACCACTCAGTCTCCTTGGAGACCCCAAAACCAGGGATTAGCCCCCCAAAATCCTAGGCTTTTTCAAGGAGCCCCAAACCAGGACTGCCCTCCTGAAGACCAAGGGCTCCTTAATGGCCCCAAAACCAGGGCTGACCCCCAGGATCCAGGGCTCTCCAGTGACCCCAAAACCAGAGGTTGATCCCCTAAAATCCAGGGTCTTCCAGGACCCCAAAACCAGGACTGATCCTCCTCAAAAAACAAGACTCTTTGGGCATCTCAAAACCAGGTGCTGCTCCCCCTAAAACACAGAGCTCTTCAGGGACCCCAAAACCACGGTTGCTCCCAAAAAACCAGAATATTTTAGTGATGCCAAAATCCAGAGCTGGTCCCCCAAAATTCAAGGTCTCCTGGGACCCCCAAACCCAGACTGACTCCTTCAAACTACGAGGGAGCCACTACGAAACGCAGGTTCTCCGGGGACCCCAAAATCAATCCCTGCTCTGCTCTTTGCCCCCTCCCCAGCCCACCAGCATTGTGGCTGGGGTGCCTCGTGCCCTGAGGCCCCCCAAAAAAGCGCCACC